TAAGTCCCATTTGTTGATTCTTGTTATTAACTCTTGGGCTATGGGTGTCCTATTGAGGAATTTGGAACCTGACCCCACAGTATGTAGATCATAGCCAACTTTTTCTTCTGTCAGACGCCGTGTCTCTGATTTGATATCAAGCTCCTTGATCCATTTTGAGTTAACTTTTATGCATGGCGAGAGAAAGGGATTTCTCTTTTGATGCATGTGGATTTCCAGTTTTCCCAGCACCATTTGTTGAAGATGCTATCCTTCCTCCATTGCATGCTTTTAGCACCTTTATCAAATATAAGATAGTTGTAGTTTTGTGGATTGGTTTCTGTGTCCTCTATTCTGTACCATTGGTCCACCCGCCTGTTTTGGTACCAGTACCATTGCTGTTTTTGTTATTATTGCTCTGTAGTATAGTTTGAAGTCTGGTATCGCTATACGATTCACACTTCCTGCTTAGCATTGTTTTTGCTATTCTGGGTCTTTTATTTTTCCATATGAATTTCATGATTGCTTTCTCTATTTCTACAAGAAATGCCGTTGGGATTTTGATTGGCATTGCATTAAACCTATAGAGAACTTTTGGTAATATCGCCATTTTGATGGCTTTTCCATATTTTCATTGGTGCATTACAGTTGTACATTATTTGGGGATTTGTTATTGTATATTTGTACATGCACACGGTAGAACAATATAATTTGGCCAGTATCATTCTCCGTTATTTCCCTTTTCTCTTCTCTCCTCTCTTCTCTACCAATCTCCCTTCACTTTTTATGAGATCACCCTCTACCCTTTTTTTCCCCTTTTCCTGATTTCCACATGTGAGAGAAAACATGACCCCTGACTTTCTGGGTTTCACTTATGTTCATGAAATATTCTCAGGTTCCATCCATTTTTCCCACAAATGATATAATTTCATTTTTTTATGGTTGAATAAAACTCCATTGTGTATATATACCACATTTTCTTTATTTATTCATCTGTTGATGGGCACCTAGGCCGGTTCTGTAGTTTGGCTGTTGTGAATTATGCTGCTGTAAACATGGGTATGTATGTATCATTATAGTATGCTGACTTTAGTTCTTTGGCTTTAATTAGCTTTTAGACATAGTAATTGAGGTAACACTTATAGTAAAGTTAGGACAGAAACATTGAGGGGTAGGTGTATGTCTCTGGGTGTATGTATGTGTGATATTCATGACATGACATTCTTTTTAATGGCAGTGTAGTAATCATTGTTGGCATATATATGATTTAGTTAACCTATAGGAATTTTCTTTTTTCTTACAAAGGAATGTGTCTCTCTCCCAACCCAATATTAACAACATAGTACATTTAATTTTGTGATCTAAGTTTTTGTGTATAACTATTCCTCTGTTTTATTATCTATTCCTTTCTAAAGATTTTGGTTTCATTCCTGTATTTTAGGTCTGCGGATCAATGGAGAACTAATCTCTGCCTACCCCCAAGTGGTGGTTGTAAGAGTTCCAACCCCTTGGGTACAAAGTGATAGTGACATCACTGTTTTGCGCCATCTAGAGAAGATGGGATGCCGATTGATGAACCGACCCCAAGCCATCCTTAACTGTGTTAATAAGTTCTGGACATTTCAAGAATTAGCTGGCCACGGTGTTCCTCTCCCAGATACTTTCTCTTATGGTGAGGCCATTAGTAAGAGTATATGTCCTAAGTGTTCAAAGCACTGATAATTTTGAGATCCATATTAATTTATATTGTAGATTTGTGAACATGAAGAAGCTTCTTAAGAGAGTGACTTTCAGTATTAAGAATTTTGAGTTATGTCTTCAGATTAGTTTCACAGTATGAGGTAGAATGAGGTTAGCAAAATTTTTTGGTAAAATTCTTTGTGGTGACCTTCAATAATACTGTTGTGCGGAAACTGCTAGAGACAATGCTTAAGTGAGTTTGACTCTGTTCTAATTAACTATCATAAAAGTAAACGGAAAGCCAAAGTTTGAGGTAAAAGATAATATTTGTGTGATTTCTTATTGTCATTATAATTTTCATAACTTCATAAATATATTTTTAAAGAAAATATCTTAAGTGCTTTAAAACAGTATTTCTGAAACTATCTGTAGTTTCAGAATCTTTTTTTTTTTTAAAGATCCATTTGCTAAGGATTAATACTCCTGTAAAATACAATAAAAATATCACCACAGTTGCTTTAAAGCTTCTAGTTAGTGTTTACTCTGTTTGTGTTTATCATATGTCAATAACAAGTCATAAACACGCACAGGTTACAAGACCATACTTTGAGTAGCAGTGCTGTGAACAATATTATGCTAAAATATTTCTTGCCCTTCCAGTTTTTCTAGTTTGGAAAAGATCAGTACAGTATTTTCCACAGACATTTCTCTAAATAAATCTCTAGTTGAATACTTGGAGGTACTCCCCCCCACCCTCCCGCAACTTTCTTTAATTCAGGGTTAGGAATCAAACCCAGAGCCTGATGGATGCTAGGCAAGTTCTCTAACTGTAATCTATACTTCCAGCCTTTATTTAAAAAAAAAAAAAAAGTGGATCAATGGGAATTCTGTCTTCCTGATACTTTTGGTATATTAGCTTGGATTCTGGTTTTTATGAGAATAGAAAGAAGAAAAAGGTTAATCAAATCCATCAACTCTAATATTGATGGATTAAAATTTGTTGGCTGAATTATTTTAATTTCTCTAAACTGCAAATTAACTTTTTCATGGCTTGATTTCCCTCTGTAATCATGCTGAGTTTTTACTAGCTACATTCTATTTATGCTCTAATCTTGCTGTTGTATCATTTGTTCCTGGGCAATAAAGACAAGTAAGAAACAAGACAACCCATGGATTCTGAGTGCCTCAGTGTAGAATGAACTCTTATTAATCACAGCATAACAATAAATAAGCTGTGTGTTTGATAATTAAGAGAGGTATGTATGCCTGCATCTGTAGGTGTATACATGCATGCAGTATCTCCTCAACCCTGAATAAATCTTTTGTTAACCAACTCAGTGTTCAGTGCC